CGTAAACTTGGCAGTCACAATGGCGTTCACCCTCAGCCTCCTTGGCTGAGTGGTTGCAGTTCTTAGAGCCTTTCCTGAGAGCTTTCTTTACTAATCTCCGGGGCTCACCTCTGATTACTCCGCAGAAAATTTTCTCTTCCTTGGTAATTCAGGTCAGCTTTGCAGAACCCAAATTCACTGAAAGCTTAAGTAATTTTCCACATTGGCTGCCTTTTGTGCTGAAATTTAGCTGAAAATTGCTTAATTCTCGGCTCTACTCTGATTACATAGATTTAGCCTAAAATTCCTTAAATCACAAAAGAATCCCCAGGACCCCTCAACTTAATTCCACCCACCTCCAGGGTTAGTAACAAGGCTACATCCATAACTAGAAAGAAAGAAGGATCTACTTATATAACCTGGGAAAGAGAGAGCCTGTCTCCTGATTACATCAAGGGCTGAAAGACATCATGCCGTCTCTGGATTTAGTACGTGAAACTAGTGTCGTTTCATAAAAACAGCTCAGAATTGAGAGACAGCAAGCCTGGATTCCCGCCTTGTTCCGGCCACTTGAAAAGTAACGGATTCTTAACCTTTGTTTTTTTGCATCCTGGATCCCTTTGAAGACCTGTTAAACCTTGTATTATATGTACAAAATTTGAGGGCGCAGATAGCAGAGCCCTCAGGGTAATAACCCCTCCCCAGTCTATGTCTAGTCTTTCCCATCACTAACACCCACAGAGTCCTTTAATCCTGCATTAGGAGGGAAACAATCTAGCATGCTATATTTTTAATGTTCAAAATGCGAATTGTCCCATATAGCCTTGAGAGTGAAAGCAGAACAGTGTCGGGAAGTTTCACCCACCGGTGGTGGAGCTCTGTCTTGTCCTCGGTTTTCATGAAATGCTAAAATTATCCGCAGCTCCTCAGGGTGTGATCCGCAGCTCCATATGGTTCCTATCCTAGCAATCTAGCAATTCATCAATCTGTTTACATACTGATGTTATACTTAGATTGATATTTAACTCCCCTCAGAATCGGTGCCTTGCAAAAGATTTATAAATGACTGCTTTGCAGTAATAGAATAGATGTGGCACTAAATGGAAAATAGTAATCATTTAGTTACAAATCATGGCCCCTTTCTTTTTATTTGCACATACATAACCACATATTTACACACACGCACGTAGAGCTGGCTGTGTCAGAGCCCCGACACTGACAAGTATGCCAAATGCTGAATGTTGATTTGTTAAACAGCAACTAAAGTTCTGGATATAAACAGCCTCATATAAAAAATGTATATAAAGTAAATATACAGTGATCGAGACACACTTAAAAGTTATGCACTTGACTTATCATTCTCTTTTTCTACTTGTTTTTATTTTATGGTGTATGTCATAGCCATATTTAAAATCTGTCAGGAGGCATCAACAATATATGAAATAAATAGCCTTTTTTCCTACTCCTATGATATTCATAGAATCTCAAAGTTGGAAAGGATTTGAAAAGTTGTTTACTCTGGCTTCCAACCAATATAGGAATCAGCTTTCTTATAGCCTTGACAGAAGGTTATGTAAATCTCTGCTTGAATACTCCTAGCGATGGGGAACTCACTTCTGTGCAGATCTAAATGTCAGGGGGATCTTCCTGATATCAAGCCAGAACAGGTTCCTAGTAATTTCCATGGCAGATCTAAAACTAAATTTGTCTTTCGTTTTCTTCAAACCAGCCCCTTCTTTTATGTTTCCCATTCTAACTAATAGAACCACAGATCAACCGCTTAGAAACCAGGCCCCATATACCACTCTTTCTCCCATTTAATTGATTATCAAACCCAGGTGAGTCTGTCTTTTGAAAACAGCCGCTTGGGTCTGTTGCCCTCTCTCTGTCCCGAAGATCTCTTTCTTGGAGTATTGCAATAGTCAATAACTGATAATTCTGCCTTTAACCTCACCCTTTGTGGCTCACCACTCAAATGGAATCGAGACTTTCTGTAAAACACTATGCTGAAGCCCCTCTAACACTACATGATAAAGCTCCTTCCCACTCCATGACCAGGCTTCAGCTTAGCTCCCCGGTTGTATGTCCCAATACTCCACCTAACCCCCTTCCCATGGCAAGTTCTAACCCTGTGGAACCACTTAGGGTTAGTTCCCTGAACGTGCAGCAGTAATGAATTTTGTTACTTTATCTGAAACACTGTTCCCCTTCGATCGCGGGAGCGAAGTTCCACGGGCCCTTCAGGGCTGGCCCCAGCATCCCATCCTCCCCTCACCTCCTCAGACCAAGCTGATCCCTGCTGACTCCTGCCCTCTTTGGGCCTCTGCTGAGCCCTCTGTCCATCTCAGTCACAATAGCTACTGCTTTTAGGGACACTTCTTTAAAGGTTCACCTCTCCACCAGAATGTGAAGCCCGTGAAGCCATCCATGTTTGGAGCCCTGGGTCAGCAGTACAGTGTCTGACTGTTGGGAACCAGGAGCTCCCTAGATGCCTGTGGCACAGCTCCATGTGGCTCTGCCTGTGCATTGCAGGAAGGAAAGAAGGTGGGAGGGAAGATAGGAAGGAAAACAGGCAGGAAGGAAAGAGTGGCATGTTTCCTTCACAAAAAAGAGCCATTGACATTTAGACACAGCTAATCCTACTCTGAATTTTGAAAAGTACCCTAAAATACTATTTTTTCTTAGATTAAACATTCTCCAATTATTGTAGACATTGTACTCTCCTGACAGCCTTCCCTGCATGAGATCTAGAGCTAAACAAAACGTTCTACTTGTGTTCTGACCAATGAGGAAACCGTATGCTTGGCTGTAACGAAAATACTCCTAAAGTAGGTTATTTGGTGCATGTTGCAGCTAAATTCCACCACTCAATTTTTTTCTCACGCATTGCCTCTATGTCTTGATGTCCCAATTCTACACTTGTATGGTACATGTGCTTCCTTCTCCGAAAACTTCACCACCCACCATCCCCACGGCCCACACGACCCTTCCTCCTCTACCCACAGCTGAGGCCTAGAAGGTCAGAGTCTCTCCTTCTGGATATTGAAATAAGACGCCAGAGGATGAAGCCAGATGGTGCTGTGTCCTTTAACTATGGGGTTACATAGGGTAGGTAAGGCCAGGGCAGACTTTTGATCAGTTTGCTCAGTGAGGAGCAAGCAGAGAAAGAGAAGATCAGGTAGCAGAAAGAATTGGGCTAATGAGACAGCTTCCCAAAGAGAAGGAGAAAGAAGAGGCCCTGTGGGAAGAAGGAGAGCGAGGAAACAGGGGAGACAAAGGAAGGGAAGGGAAGGGAAGGGGTGCGGGGAGCTGTCTCAGTCCCTGCTCCGATTTCATGACATCTGCGTAAGCTGTGTTTCTGTGAGGTGACTCTCTGTCCTTCCACTGTCCACTAGCCACTCACCCTCACCCGGGACGCTTTCACACATTTGTTCTGTTTGTGGAAACAATATCCCTAATCAGCCCAGGTGGGAGATTACCCCTTCATATTTTAGACTAAGGTCTTTTGTCCGGATCTGTTTCTTTCTCCAACAGGAGGAAGGTAGAATCTTCTTTACCAGTCTCTGAGTCTATCATTTTGAAATATGGAAGGGTAATTCTTCACTCACTTCTTTTCCAATTCATTCTGCCTGGCTACACACACACACACAAAGACAATGATAATAATAAATAACAGCAGCTAACATTTACTTTGGACTTGCTGTATACCAGGCACTAGGTTAAATACCTCTGCCATTCCACATAATTCTCATAACAATGTTATGAAGCAGCCTTATTCTCATCCCCATTTTTCAGATAAAGATCCACAGTTTAGCAAGATTATATGGCTTGCTAAGTAACACCTCGTTAACACGTTAGAACTGAGATTTAAGTCTAGTCATTGTTTACTTCCTCCTTTACACCTATTTTGATGAGCACAGGGAGAAAGCAATTAGAACTGGTGCTAACCTCGACACCTATTCTCTGAGCCATTGTGCTCATAGACAGTTAGCTCTGGTCACTGTTATTATCATTGTTATTTCTATTGTTAACATTATTAAAGTCTCCTTGCTAGTTAGTGGTCCTGATGAAACTTGAACCTCAGATGATCAGATGCCTCCCAACATGGATACTAATAAACCCAAACCTAGCAGTTAGGTAGATCAGCCATTGATAGACCTAACTCCTCAAATTATTCATGGGCTGCATTCAAAGTTGTGTCCATAAGTTAGTTGTTCAGAACACCAAACACATTTCCTCCTTGAAATAATTTTTCAGAGAGGATCAGCCCACACAAATAAAGCTGAAATACTCTACACGTATAATTAAAAGAGCAGAACACGAGACTATTATACATATCTAACACTGTATTTTAGTTACATGTTCTTTTATAGTCTCTGCTGCTCCTGAAAAATTGCCTTGATATGATTGTAGCACTGTCAGCATTGAAACTCACATTGACGTCTGGACATTAGAGGTCAGATTATTCTTTAGTGCAATTATCTTGGTGAGCTCCCACCCTTATCCAAGGGCTTGACACCAGGTGAACACACAGTGAATGTTTCCTGGGTGGATGAAAACATTTAGTGGTGAGGTGTTAGAGATTGCAATGGCCCCAGGGGGATGAGGTGGGATGGTGGGAGAGACTCGATGAGACTCCAGGGTGAGCTAAACTTTCTTACTGATATGGCTGTAACTCCTTTTTTTGATGGGAGAAAGCAGGTAGAATTGGTGCTAAACCGGACTCCTCAGTGGGGTTGATAATTACCTTGGTATCCTGTGCACAGTAACGATTCCAATAAAACTATTTTAACTAAGAAACGTGGATTTCCCCCTAAGTGAGTCAAAAAGAAAGTTTATTCAAGCTGAATGACCCTGAGGAGTTTGTTAACAGACTACCCACAGGCTCTATATTCTTCCTTGTCTATTAAAGAACAGTTACCCATGACTTGAAAAGGAATTTATCGAGTACACGCAGACGACCTATGCTGGGAATTGCCAGAATCCATGGAAACGTTGGTTTAACCACCTAGACAACCTTAGGCCCCCTAAATTGATGGTCGCCATCATGTACTTACATTCTTCCCCAGGGGCTCAGAAAAGTAGAGTTAATTTTAATTTCTATTTGAAAAATATCCTCAGTGAAAATAATAACAGTCTCTTGCTCCAACTAGCCCATGTTTAACTGACAGGTCTGGGCCTGACTGACTGCTAAAGGAAACATACTCTCTCCTCTCCCCAGGGGTCCCCAAATCTTTCAGTCTCTGATTGTTCATCTAGAACTAAAATATGTCTCTTAAAACCAAACGTCTAATGAAAATGTATATACATATGAAACAGTTTCCACAAATGTTTATAGCTTTATTTATGATCACCAAAAAAATGGAAACATCTCAATGTCTTTCAACTGATGAATGGATATAGAAACTGCAGTACATCCACGCATTGGACTACTTACTACTCAGCAATAAAAAGGAACAAACTATTGACACATGTAACGACATGGATGAATCCCGAATGTGTTATGCTGAGTGAAGGAAGCCAGACCCAAAAGGCTATACGCCCTATGCTTGCATTTTCATGACATTCTGGAAAAGGCAAAACTATAGAGACAGAAAACCAACTAATGGTTGCCAGGTGCTGGAAAAGGGAAAGAGGTTGACCACAAAAGGGAGCAGGGGCATTTCTGGAGGTGACAGAAATGTTCCATATGTTGATCCTCATGGTGGTCACACAAGATTATATGTTTGTTCAAACTCATAGATCTGTATACTAAAAAGAGTGAATTTTAGTATATGTAAATTATCCTCAATAAACTTGACCCAAAATAATTTTAAAATAAATTTTCTTGTAAAAAGAATTTAAAAAACTGGCTAAGTGTGATTATTCTACTCTTAACTCCAATGTTCAGGCAGACGATCTTAATTGAGAATGATTGAATTGATGCCTAAATGGGGTCAGGATTGGGCAACATACACCCAGCAGGGCAAGTGGACTGCTGTTCTGAGAGGCCCTCGTGGGAACAACATTTCAAACTTGTTGACTTCTAGAACTTGTTGGTAGTGTAGGTTGGGAATGGTCTTCCTCTAGGGCAAAGGACAGATGCTTGAATGATCTATGGGCAAAAATATGAGGTGATGTACATGTAGTTTCCAATTGCCTCTTCACGGCATCTCATTGAGCCTCCTAAGAAGTTTCCAAGACAGGGGTTATCAACCCTGTTGTGTAGGCGAATAAGCTGAGGTTTGGGGGGATGTGACTTAGTCCTTAGCAAGGCAGCAGACTTTAGGGCTGGGCCACAGGGCTTCTGACTTCACGCTTGTTTGTTTGCTTGATGTTGGTGGTGGCAGTGGCTTAAATTGTACTTAACTCTCCATCTTTGAGATGAGTCAATCATCAAAATATGAAGAAAGACTGGCGGAGACAGATAAAAGTTTTTCTCTCACTGCAAAGATAAAAATTACAGTGAATTTCTGAAAAAGAGACATAAAGTAAATGTCAAGATTTTGTCCAGAAGAGTCAGTCTGTGCCTACCTGAAACTAAGCATCTAATTTACAGTTTAATTCGGGGCAGCCTTCAGGTATTTTGACTAAATGACTGAAAACACCTGGATGTTTGGAGTTTTGAGAGGAACTATCTGATATTTTCTGTGTTGGCCAGGTGTCCAGTATTTGATTTGCATACCTCCCAAGAGACCAGTGGAGGCTCACGGCAGTCGGGTATCTACAGGAACATTTCAGTGTCTCACGGAGTTCTGTTGTTCCATCGGAAATCACTGGACTCACCCACACGAAAGAATGGGAAATAAATCACACCTTTCACATGTCTTCCTGGTAACGTACAACCCGCTGCTACATTGCGCAAGAAACATAGATCATGTAATGTTTTTTGTTGCATAGGAACAGCCTTGGAAATTTTCAAAGCAGAAGGGTCAGAATGTTAGGAAGTTTGTAGCAGGGAAAATTCTTGCCGTGGCAGCTGATAAGCTAAATATCCTGACTAGACTCTCTCCTCTCTTTCTGGCACGTTGCCTAACAGAACAACAGAGTCCTATGTGGGTCTGTAACAGTCACACAAAACGGATGGCACCCTCTCATCGCACCCTTGCTTAAAGACCTTCCATGATGCCTAGATGGGCACTGAGGCCCCGAACTGTTGAAGCAGGGTTAGTGATGTGGACAGAGAGTAGGAACAGGACACGACAAGTGCTGTGTTTGCACTACTGCAGATCACACTGAGTCCCCTTCTCAGTCAGGCCAGAAAGAGGAAAGAGTTCAGGGGTGGCTTAATTCCACCCTGCTGCTTCCCGACACTCTGAGGATTGTATTTTTCCCCCTCTCTTTCTCTTTTCAGTCTCAATGTTCCTCATCACCCCCTAGCAACAGCCCCTCCTCCGGAAGGAAGTGAAAGATATTTGAAGAGTCTCTTCTTTGTTCCTTGTGTTTTTTCCTTTGTTCTTCCAGGTGGGGGAGGAGTCAGGGGAGGATTGGGGAGGGGACACTGGTGAGGCAGCACAATAGAGGGGAAACTAAAGCCCAAAAGTCCCAGTGCCTTACAGGACTCCCAGCATATTAATAATTGCTAATAATTGTGCATCTCCATGCTACCTGCCACCAACCTTAAACAGTTCTCGTGCATCTCACTTGGAGCAAACTCTGTTTATGAAAACCTGCATTGTCACAGAAGAGAAATTATGGATTGTTGTGCTATTACCAAAGATGTGACTCTGAAAGTATTCACAAACACCTCCATTAAATGGTCAGCTTTTTCCAGTGCATTTTAAATATGACTAGACTTCTAAAGCTGTGATTTTCACGTAGCTCTTAGGGACCACATCTATTGGGTAAAGCGAGTCACACCTGCAGTAAAGTCAAGGTTTCCAGAAGAGAATGTTCTCCATTTCTTTGACCATTTCCTTAATCCTTGGGCAAGATCAACACAGAAGCAGTAAGCACAAGAGTTAGGCTGAGCTGAGCAAAGACCTCTGTCCCAGGGCACAAGGCTACCATTTTGAACAGTGTCCCTGGTGAAGTTTATAGGGTGGTAATAAAAGCCTCTCTGGGCCGGAGCGTCTGCCTGTCCCATAGCAAAGCAGGCAGAAACTTTCCCACTCATACAGAAAAGGCGGGGGGAGAAATAAGGTGGCAAGAAGGATAAGCTTCCTGGTGGTTCTACTTTCCACAGCTCTAGGTTTTATGGGACCCGTGGAAGTGAAGCAAGAGCACGAACTATAGGTGAAATCAAGCAAACCAACTGCCTTTTCAACCTTATGTTTTTAATCACGTCTCTCAAGTACCGGCCAACTTAACCTTTAAGTATGCCTGTGCCCAGATTGTGTGTTACAAGGGCAGAACGTCAAGAATCTCTTGACTTCACCCAAATCCCACTGACAGTAGTAAAATAAATACAACAAATTCTTAGAAATGATCAGCTGAGAGTTGTGCGTAGGATCACTGAAGCCGTTTCAAGAGTAACAGCCAGTCATTCGATCAACAAATATTTTTGAGTATCTATGGAGGCCAAGCACTGGAGGAGGCAGCAAGGTGCCCATCAGGAATATATCCTGGATGCTGGCCTCAAAGTGTTTGCAGCCAAATTGGGAGATAAATGCATACACAGACAATCCTAAGGCTATGGAATAAGGGCTAAAACAGGGACGCAAAATAATTGTGACATGGAGGAAGGAGTGACCAAAGCAGCTCGGGGTGGGGAAGGACTGTGTCCAGGAAAAGATATTCCAGAATGGTGCTTCAGCACAGCCTTTCAAGATGAGCAGAGAGTGACAGAATCAGGAGTCCCCTACTCAGGGCATTTTGCTGCTGGGGAATTCTCAACCCAAAGAACATTGAATTTTCCATCAAGAGGGCTTGCCAATTCAATTTTTCCATGAAAATACGTATACACACACTTGCCCTCCTCGGTCTTGTCAGATTGATAGCCATTATTCTTTTGTTCTGTCTTCCTAGGTCAGGGATGCATTTAAATCTAAATTCCAAAGGTGAGCAAGAGCAAGTGTACCTCATTTCTGTGATTTCAAGCACTCTGGGGAAAGATTTGGGGTAGTAAGTGAATAACAATTAACAATATTTTCCCATCTGATCAGTAGATCATACGGTGTTTGCTCTTTCTAATTAATTTAGCTTTCTAGTAAGGTTATCTTGCACACTTTCCAGGGTCCCCTGATATAAATAGACTGGGCAGCAAGGAGGAAATCAAAACAAGTGTGCATTTGTCTGGAAAGTGGTGACAACTGTGCAGAGTGGAAGAAGACAAATATAAGAAAACAACAAGTATCAGAAAGCTGGAGGATATAGCTGGTCACCACAATATCTTCATCAGATCAACTGGGTGGTCATAAAAGACTAAGCCAGAAATTCACGTCAAGGTCAAGGAGAAGCTACAGATTACAGTGGAATGATGGCTTTCCTCATTTTAGAAAAGCTACTATTTTAGAAAAATCAGTTCAAGTTTAGCAAATTTCTTTCATAAGGAAGTGAAAAAGAAAACCTCCTCACTGTTAGTCAATAATGAAAAATGGGTCTGGTTCCAAAGCTGTCTGGAGCAAATATTTGCCAATGGCAAGCTGGGGATTATGAATGAAGATTTATCAGTCTCAACACTTAGGTCTTTTTTTGGCAGGGGTATGGAAAAAATGTACATAGCCTGACAATATTTACCTTCATTTTATTTGTAAATCTGAATTAGCAATATGCCTTTCTTGATGTAGATTCTGCTAAACCAAAGGGGAGATACGCTGAACAGCGTCCCAGTTTGCCCAGAACTCTAAATGTTAGCACTGGGAAACCCCTCAGCCCTGGGCAGATCAGGATGGTCGGTTACCTTAAGGGAGAATAAATTCCCGAATACAAGTAGCTTTACTCTGGCTGAAGGAATTCCAGGATGGGAGGGGCTATTCGTGTGTAGGTCAAAGCATTGCACCTGCCCAACCGCTGACGTGGCCCATTGTGTCTCCTTCCTACACGCATGATATGTGGGCCTGTGATGGGAAGGAGAAAAAAGGAGCAATCCCTTCCTTTCCCATGTAAGTTCTCAGGGTCAGTGCCTCTTCCGCGTGGCCAACTCAGTTCCTAGCAGGCAGACACAGCTGATCAAGTTCTTGGTAAAGGACAATCTCATCCACTTGTGGATAGTGAGATTGGCATTTCCAAGAGGACTTGAGATAGCTCCCCCAGTCCAGTGGGATAAGCGTTGCCTGGGAACTTAGACTGCAAATCATCAGGCCCCAGCCATGTCAGACTGAATCAGAAACTGGGGAGGGGCCAGCAGGCTGTGCTTCAGTAACTCCTCCACGTGAGGCTGACGCAGACTCAGGTTTGAGAACCACTGCTCTGGAGACTGACCTCACAAGATCAGATAGAATAGGTTTACCTGACGTACCTCTCACAGGCGAAAAGAATAAAGAGAGTGTGGTCCGTGAGTTCAGACTTTTTACTGCAGTTAGAACAAAGGCTAGACCTAATTTTCTTTCCTAATTTATATCCCCATGAGGTAGCCTGTTTTGCCATTAGGTTAAACTCAGGTCCAGATTAACTGTTTTCTCATTCCCCAAATCTCAAAAAAAGCCCAGAGGATAACTACAACCTGAATTAGAGAAAGACGATAAAACAATTACCATTTTAATTGGAACAGATCTCCAGCAAATATTGATCCATGGCACAACCATGTGCTGGGGATGGAAATCAAGTCATCTTTAAGGATAAAAGCATCAATAGATTCTGAAAGAAAGGGATCAGATGTCACCTTCTCCCCTGTCTCTCCCTTTCCACACCCCCATCCTCACCACGCCCACCCTTTTTCCTTCTGGAAGCAGGAAAAGTAGATCCAAGAAACATGCAGGTCCCTCCAGCACTGACCCAGTTAGGGCAGCGACAGGTCTCCGCAAGGCCTATTGGTCTCTGCACTCCCGGATGAACCCCATTCAGGGTTGCCCAGCAGCCCGGCTTTCTGGCCTTTAAAAATGGTGATGGATTCATTTAGAATCAGGGGCTACGGAGCTGGGAGCTCAGGTGCTGCAGAAATGGCAGGTGGTTGGAGCTGACTTGACAGCAATTAAATGTACAAATCTTTGATTAGGCTCCTGGGAATGGAGTCATTAGCAACCCAGAACCGACCAGCTTGCTTTCCACCGCCTCATTAGCTGCTCCACCGATGTTACTTTAAAAAGCCGAGAGGAGGGGAAAAAAAAAACCTCTCTAACACAGAATTAGGAAAGTCGAGTGACAAAGCCAGAGCAGGCAGGGAGGGGACAGAGCTGGTGTAAGCATTTCTAGCAGAACAACCAAGTCCCCTGCTTTTTTGCGGCATGGCCGCTGACATGAATGTGCATGTTTGCTGGACTGTAAAACAGCCCCATACCTGCCTGTACAATCTGCCAAAAAGGGCTTTTTTTTTTAATCTGCTTTTTCGCAATCCTCAGTTGATTCACTTTTCTCAGCCAAAGCCTCAGTGCGGTGGCAGCCTTCCTCGGGGCTGCAGAGTCCCGATTGGCCAGGTCTCCTGCAGAGCTGTTGCATGGCTCGCTTCACCTTCCCCAGAGGCAGGGTCCAGGGTCCACATCTGCCCTTTGGAGGCGAGAGACTCTCAGTGTCAGGATTCTCCTGCTGCGTGGCCCTGGCTCCCTCCGTGACCCCAGTTGGTAGCCGCCATGTTATTACAGAACTAGAGTCTGGAGAAAGCCAAGCATGCAAGTTTAATAATCTTCCCAACGGGGAGCTTTAAAACAAGAGAGAAATGTGTCTCACAACCTTCATGTCAAATCTGCCATCACCATTTATTTGATATGAGCCTAATTCATTGCATCTTTATTATTTTTATCCTTCTCAATCTGCCAGTCACTGGATTAATATTTATAAAGCACGCTCCACAAATATTTATTGATCACCTATTATAAACCTCATATTAATTGCTGTGGGAAAACTATGGGTGAGAGGACGGTCTATCTTTGACTTTGGAATCTGTTAGAAAGAACCATCATGTACATTTTCTCTCCTTTATTCATTTATTTATTCAAAAAACACCTGCTGTGTGCCTGCTTAGTTTAAGCACTGTTCTTGTCAATAAAAATATGAAGGACAATAATGATAATTGCCTACCATCTGATAAGTGTTTTACGTGTACTAATTCATTTAATCCTTGCAGCAACTCTGTGAGGTAGGTACTATTATTATCGCCATTTTAGAGAGAAGAAAACTGAAGCACAGAGGGGTTAAGTATCTTGCCTAAGGTCACACTGGTAGTAAACAGCAGAGCTGAGATTTAAACCCAGGAGTCTGGCTGCTTAACCACTATGCTGTGCTGCCTCAAGTTGCTTACAGCTTGACAGGGAAGATAAACATCAAAACCAACCGTTTCAACACAGTGTGATAAGCACATCTGTGTAAAGTATGTAAAAAGTAGACGGTAGGGAGAGAAGGGAATTATTAAATGCCTATGGAAAAGAATTCACAGTGAAAATGATGCTTGATCTGGGTTTTGAATTAGAAAGAAAAAAGCCAGAGCTTTCAAGAAGTTACCATCTAAGAAGACACTTCACTAAATGTCTTCGACACCATTATGACAGTTTTAGAAACAGGGTATCACATATATTGGGAACCTTGGAAAGGAAGAGATTGCATCCAAATGTGAGTGTAAACAAGAACCAGTTTATTAAGGAGGTGGTACCTAAGCGAAGAGCTGGTTAAAGTTTAGGATGGAGCCTTGTTAGAAGCAGAGAGCTCAGCAGATGAGGTAGGCAGGGATGGAGGAGGGAGGAAGAGAGAGGACAAAGATAGAGAAATATGTCTCCAAGGAGGTGAGGAGAGAAGCTAACGTGGGAAGAACAGTTTGAGCCTAAGCATGGAGGGCGTTGAAGGAGAAATTTTATTCAATTCTAGAAATCTATTGAAGCTTTTAGGAGTAAGGGAGTGAAACATAAATGACTTAGAAATACCAAGGAAAGCAATAGAGCAATACAATCAAATCCATATAATGAAAAAGTATATTTTCAAGCTAAGAAACATAAAGGGTTGTTTTTACTCAATAACAACCTTCTATAAAGCGTTTTCGTGAAGATAGGATATAGTAACAAGAGGAATTGCTTTGTAAACCATAATGTGCTGTTCAAATACCATTTTTGTTTTTAATGATATATTTATATGATCTTTAATTCAACTCCCTTCTGTCCAAAGCGAGGATGATACGCAATCTATCTGCATGTCTCCACGCGATAGATCATCTCAAGGAGCTTGCTTTCCTGTAGCAGACGCGTAGGCGAGCCCTTTCCAAAACATCCACCAGAGGAATCAGAATGGGCATTGTCAAAGCATCCTGGCCTCCTGAGGACATGGCAGTGATACGTCCCGAGTGGCGTGGGCTCTATCCATCCACTGAGGGAGTGGTCCTGAACAGAGAGAGGAAATCGTTACTAGTCTTGTGCTGCCACCACCAACAACAACCAAAAAAGATGGTTCTTCTGATTAAACTAAGGTAGCGACACACTGTCATTCGCTATGTTCTTAATCTTTCCATCCAACCAATCGACTTCTATTAGACCACAGCCTGGCCTATTTTTCTTCAAAATAATTTCTTTTTCACTCCTGCTCTACTCTTATTTGGTGAGGGGGTGGGGGGCGGTGAGGGTTAACTGGGTTCATCTTCACAACATGTTCCAGATGCTTGTTTGCTTAAGTGACTTCCTGGTCTTTCTTCTGTCATTTCTATCTAGAGGTGGAGGGCCTCCCCTCAGCAGGCGGGGTTAATGTTCCTTGCATCCTTGCTAAAAGTGCATAAAGACCATGCTACCCCCAAGGTGGCTGGGAAAATGCCTGATTGCTGTGGGAGGTCACCCAGTGGTTCTGGAGTTTCCAAAACTTCAAGCTGATGCACAACCCAAGGATGAGGGTAAAGAGATATTTGAAGTTAAATATATTGTTTTCGTGATTGTGATTGGAGCAAAAATGAAAATGGCATTTCATCTGTTAAAGAATAATGATTATAAGACAGGCATAATTTCTTCTGAGGTAATTTCTTTCCCTTGAGCTTCATTGGGATAAACAAGACAGAAGGACTATTGTCAGCCTCCTGAGCCCGGTCTCAGGCTTGTTCCTCGGAACTATCATCTCACCAGCACCCCCACTGGCCCTTTGTCCCTGCTTTCACTGTGCCCACGTGGCAATGCTCCACCCCTGAGTGAACACTGCACCCTGTGTTTCTCCTCCTATACTCAGCTCATTCAAGGAGGGTGGAAATATTTGGTCCAACAGTTCAGACGGGTGATGCCACAAATTCACGGTCTTCCTCAACTGAGCTTCAGGACTGAGGGTCAGTCTTTCTCTTGTCCATGCGCTGCACCCTTTTAGTAGAAATTGCACTTCTTCTCAACTCTCCAGAAAGGCGTAATAATTTCCCATACCCCTCCCTTAGAGCATATGGCCCCCTACTTCTACATCTTTTAAAAACCTGAGACTTAACGTGCAAACTTTAAGCTTGTCCACACCTACAAAAACTTTCATCCACTCATCTTCTTGCCTGGAATCTCACAAAAGATGGAAAAGATGATGTTTTTGTTTGTTTGTTTTATTCCTATTGCATTCTTTCCTCTTGAGCTCTTGGTATCATGCCTTCCTATGGCCTTTTGGACTTTGGTTCATCAAATATCTTCTTTTTCTCTTGCCATTACAACTTCTTCCTCTCCATAAGTTCGTTCCTATCAGATACAAACTTTCTCCAATCCCTCCCACTAGAAGAAAAAAAAAGTGAAGCATCTTCTAACTCTGTTTTCCCTTCCTTCCTCTAGCTACTTCTACTCTTTTCTCAACACAATATCTCAAAGAATCAACATCTTTTGTCTCTCCTTCCTCATCTCACATCTCTTCCTCCCCTCCTTCTTGCCAGATGAGTTGGTCCCTTCCCTGTCCTACCTCGGTGGGCCTCCATATGGTTTTGAAGACAGTTGATCTCTCCCTTCTTCTTCACATTCTCCACTTTCTTAGTCTCCATCACCCCACTCTCTCTTGTTTCACCTTCAGCCTCTCTGATCAGTCCTTCCTGGTTTTATAGGCTGCCTATCCTCTCATGCTTCTTAAACAGTGGTGTCTCCCAGGATTTTATCCTTGATCCTCTTCTTTTCTCACCCTATGTTGTTTCTCTGGACAATCTCATCCACTCTCATGGTTCCATAATCATCATCATACTAGCAACACCCTAATCTGTATTTCTAGCTGGCTCCTCCCAATGAGTTTCACTGTGACATAAACCGTGGTCTACCGGACCTCTCCACCTGGCTGCCCCCAGATTCCTCACACTCAGCTCTTCTGAATAATCTGATCTTACCTTTGTCTTTCCTATACAGGCTTCTTTTACACGTTCTCCCTCTCAGTAGATGGACCACTATTCATCTCATCTCCCAGATGAGAAGCACTGGGAGTGTCCTCAGTTCTTTCTTCTCCTTCACCAACTCCTGTCACATTTGCCACCCAAAGTTCTCAAATCTGCCCCTTCCTTTTAGTCCATACTGGGATTTCCCTGGCTTAGGGAGGCCCTTATCATCTCTCACTGGGACTGCTATACTACCACTAACAAGACTTCTGGCCTCCAGTTTTGTCCTCCTCCTATCAGTGCACTGCACAAAGCCCTGAAGAATCTATCTACATCACAAATATTGCTATGCTATTTTCCATGCTTAAAACTCTTAAAAAATTCCCATTGGCCTATAGAATAAAAATCAGTGGTAAAGGTTTTAGCATCACCTATGTCTCTGGCCTCAGTGCTCACCAAGTCTCATCTTCCACTGCACATCCAGTAACATTGACCCTCTGGTGGTCGTCATCATCATAATCATCATTGCTATTATTCAGTGAGTGTTTACCATGTAGTAGGCACTATGCTAATTTCTTCATATGCGTTGTATCAGGTAGTCCTCACAATAATCTTATCTGGTAGGTACTATCATTTTTCTCATTTATACGCAAGAAAACTGAGTCAGAAAGAGGATAAATAACTTGCCAAAACTTGCATAGCTAGTAAGTGGCAGAGAGAGAATTTCAACCTGGGTAATTAGACTCCAGAACTCACTCTCTTAATTTTATCACACATTTTGTGTTGTCCCTTCTGCCTGCAATGCCCTCTCCCTCCCTTCCTTACCCTTGCCTGCCAGCTTCTGTTTATCCTTAAAGACTTGGCTTAGACAGCAGCAGCTGTAGGTAAACTTCCCTGGACCCTGGGGCTGGATCAGATGCCCAAGTCTTCTCTCCCCGACACCCCTCTTAGGTATTTGGCAATCACTGCATTTTACACATTTTGCTGTAATTATCTCTTAATTATGTGTCTCCCCTATCAGACTGTGTCTTATTCATCTTTGCGTCCCCAGTGCCTAGCACGGTGCCTAACTTATACAAATTTCTTGGTACCTATTGAAGGTGTAAATGGTGAAAGCCCGACCATCAGCAGTCTGTTCCTCACTCTGAAAAACAAAGTGACATATTCAAGTGGCAGAAAGATGATGACTAATCCATCTCAGAGAGCTGTGATTTAAAGAATTCTTCTCCTCAGCTAAAAGCACTACAATGCCACATCATTCATGGTCCTGCACGTGCGTGTACCTTCCCTGACCAGCCTAGACCTCCGCCCTGCAAGGAACTGTTGAAAGAGTGAGTCAAAGGCAGTGGGGAGAAGTCACATGGCCAGTGGGAGACTCAATAGACTTGCATATTTTTATATAAAGTCCATTATTTCATACTGCAATTAACTCCACAGACCGTATTCAAAGTCCTTCACATCGGTCTACTTTTCTAACTTTACATCCAGTTATTTACCTCCCAGGTCTCTACTTTCCAGCGCTCGCCCTGCCTTTGGCCTGTCAGCCTCCATATTCGTGCTCACGTCGTCTTGCCGGTCTTATCTACCTTCGTCATCCCTGCCAATGCTTCCAAAGCAGCTCAAATGGCACCTTTTATCTATGGCCTTCTCTGTCTCATCAGGCCAGAAATGAGCTTCCAATAGTTATTCTCTACATAAACATTTGGAAAGTAATTATGCACCACAATTAATGCTATCCTGTCATGAAGCAGCCTTCTTCCTGGCCCGGATGGATCTCTAAATCAATTGTTGGTCATTCCGGGGATTCCTTTGTCTTTTATCTCCAGGAAAAATGTTAAGTTCTTTGAAAGCAAGAATATGTTTTACACTTTTCTCCCATAGTGCTCAATAAATAGGGAACTGATGATTTTTCTTTTCTTTAAATCCTTGATTCTTCCCAACCTTTCTATCACAACAATCTCCCTCTTATTCTAAGCTCAGAGAGGGGACTTGTTTTAATTTCTCATCTTACCCCAGATCCGCACTGTCACCAATCCACCTGATCCTTTCCCAATGACATCCGACTGATCTACTTCCCTGTCTGCAGCTCTGCAGCCCTGGACCAGCCCGTCTATGTGATCCAGGGCTTCACAGAGACGATCACGTGGGAGCATCCAGATCCCTCCTCTAGATTCTCCATTCTCCCAAGCCATCTATGCTTCACTCTGTGGCCTCTGGTTAAGCAAATCCCCAAATCTCATGTTTTTTGTAACGTTTAGTAGCATTGCAAGGAACAGAGTTAACAGACAACACGTTTACAGAATGCCCATGACTCAGACAATCGGAAAACCCCCAAAACAATGTGGGATATAAATAGTAGCTGCCTTGACTAAAGCCCTCGAGCAATTTTTGAGCTGGAATCAAATCACATGGAACAATTCAAGCACGCTGGCAAGGTGTGATGAAACCGGTTTATTTGTGGTTGAATTTTCCATTCGATATGCTATTCTGTTTTACGAGCCATATAACTTTGTGAAGCAATTGTGGCTAACGTACAGACTCAGGCAGGAGGCGGGAACCCGTGAGTTGGTTACAAAGGGCTGTCACATAGGTGGGTCACCGACGTGGAGAAGTCAGGGGGCATGGGACTCAGGTAGGAGGGGGAGCCGGGGAAAGGTCTTGGATAAGGAGCTGGAGATGGAAACTGTAGCTTTTGGAAATTCTGACTGCTGTGTGAAGGGATAAATAGAAGTGGTCATTTTCTGGCCAAAATTTAATATTATCTCATCATGGAACAAAATCACACGTATCCCAGGTCAGCCCACTACCTCCTTTACAGGTCATCACCTTGCACAATGTCAACCTGCTGTATAGTAAAATAATAATCTTAGTGAGTGCTCACCGAGTGCTATTTGTTTTGAGAGCTTTGTAATATTAACTCATTTAAACCCCTCACCAACCCCCTGATGTGGTACAAATGAGGAAACTGAGGCTGAGAAGGTTTGCGTTTCTAGCCCAGGGTCACACAGCAGCAAGTAGCAGTGCCAGGATTTGGACCCTGGCAGCCTGATGCCCACCCCCATGGCTTCCTCTCTGGTATCAGAG